GAACAATACTATATATTGTTTATGAATATGGACATACGTAGTTTATTGAAAACATACATAGGGATAATGAAGTACCAAATTCAGGATGGTGGTTACCTGGCAAAGATAGGGTTTGAGGTGGGAAGGACACAAGGGACTAAACTACCACATGTCATGTGCCCCTGTTGTAAAATAGGTTTTTTTTTAAAGATTTATTTATTCATGAGAGAGGGGGAGGGGCAGAGGGAGGGGCAGGGAGAGAATCTCAAGCAGACTCTGTGCTGAGTGTGGAGCCCAACGCGGGGCTCAATCCCATGACCTGGAGATCATGACCTGAGCTGAAATCAGGACGCTCAACTGACTGAGCCCCCCCAGGCGCCCTGTAAAATATTAAGACTTGATAAAAGTGAGTGGAGGGTGTATGGCTGCTTGTGTAATGCTCTCTAGGTTGTGGGTATGAAATCTTCCTCGTGCATACCCACACCGATGGTGATGGGGCAGAGGTTGCCTGGGCAAAAGCAGCTCTTCCCAGGAAGCCACAGGAAACTCTTCACCATGGTGGATGTATTGTGGTCCAAGGCTTGACCCTTATCTTTGCAAACCCAGAAACTTTTGCTTTTTGCTTATTTGCTCCCCGCCCCCCATGCTTTGCTTTGTTTCATTGCCAGCAAACCAAAGCTAGATTTGTCTCTCAGGGGCAGACTCAAACTGAATTCACAGATTGAATGAACCCAGAATGCCAACTTAATAATTTGTAAAGAGGAATACATAGGACAGCACCCAGAACCTTGAAATCCCACGGCCTTGCCTGAGCCTGGTGGTGGTTCCCCCTTGAGCTGCTCCACGGGAAGCAGAGACATGGCTGGAGGGTGACTTGGGGGCACACGGTGAGAAGTGTCTGCTGCAGAAACTAACATCCAAGGTTCCCATGGCCAGAAGATTTCCTCCAATGCGGACTCCAGCTTGTAATCAGGATACAGGCTGTGTGTCATGCTCAGGGTTGTGGGGTCTACACATCCCTCTTTCGGGACTGGCTGGAAGCACCCCGTGGGCTTCACAGAGGGGCTGAGCATCTCTGAGCGCTGGGAGACCAGAAAATGCCGACGTGGGCTTGACATGGTTTGAAATGTTGCTTTTTTATCTTTTAAGGTGTGTATATTTCCCATCTCTTCCATCATAGAAGCCAGTCTTTATGCTGACATAGAGTAATGCGTAATTACTAATTTAATGACTAAATTAATTACGAATCAGCCAACTTGCTTGGTATTTTCCTAACAAAATCTGAGTTGAATGGGCATTTCAGGAAGACGGAGCATATTCACCCAGTGTTTCTTCATTCCTGTGACCCTCCGTTTGGCTGTCATGCCTGTCTCACTAAGTGTAGCCTTTCTCTACACATTGTAGATGTTCTGGAACTCTCTCTTTTATTGAAGCCTGCTTCTCCATCCCCCACCTTTCCATCCACTGAGCTCTTCTCGCGGACCTCAGAACCCCTCTTCCCCCGAGTGACCGTGCGTTCCCCACCCCCCGGATCATCATGTGCATTAGTCTGTCTCACGCCCATCACATTGGCCTCGACTCCAAGTTCCTAGAGAAAATTCCATGCTAACCGCCACGTGCCGATGACAGGCACTGATCATGCGCAACCACCAAATGCGTATTACACCCCTGAGTTATAATTATAGTGGCCTTTCCCATTTTCAAAGGTTTTTTTCATACATTTTTATTTGATTTTTCCAGTAACCGTGCAAGATTATGAGAGCCATGTTCGCAGATGCCACAGTCGGTAACCAAGTCTACCACAGGCCCTTTGCGGAAATACTAGGCCAGCTGGGATGGTGGTGAGCCGTGGCATGCTGGGGGTGGAGTAGAAGACATACATTATGCAACTCCTGCGTTCTTAAACAGAGCCTCTAGCTTCCCAGGGCATTTGGGGATGCATCTGAAGAGGTGCTTTGGGTTCTTTGATCAACTTTATGATCAACCCCAAATATAACCCCTGCATCAGAACGAGTCTGCCCCAGAGACAAGTTCATTCTTCAGAAGGGCTCAGGAGCACATGGTGGTTGAGATCAGCCATTTTTTCCATTTCCAGCCACTCAAGAGTTCAGATATTGATAGTGTGGTCGCAGAGAAATTTTAAAACTAAACTCAAGACTTAAAAAAGAAAAACTTTGTGTCCAGTTTTTTAAAGTCTGCGTTTTACCGGATAGGAAGTTACCAGAATGACCGCTCTACTACCAGACCTGTGGAGACTCAGGCCAGCTTGTGGCCCCAGAGCCCTGTCTTGTACCCCAGGCATCCCACGGCTTCCAGCTCACGTCAGCTGCAGACTTGTCCTGCCACGGACCTGAAGGACGCTGTGGTTGGTCCTCTGCTCCCCAAGAAATCTCCAGTAGGAACGTGCCCCTGGCAGCCAAGTCCCCCGATGAGCTGCTATATCGGGCCTTCTTTCACTCACTCTGCAGTAGTGAAGACTGGGTGGCACGGATAGGAGTCTTTAAATGCAAGATTTATTCTGTTTCTTTTTAAAGAAATTCTGCACTCCCCCCTCCCCCTTCTCTTGGCTCCGCGTGAGGAGTTCGGATCTGAATCCATACACGTCCGTACACACATACACTCTTAGCTCATGGGGCGTAAGATAGTTCTCAGTTTTTGCTCGTTATCCCTCTTTGCCTTAAAAATGCGATGCCTCTTAAAAATGGCATGCCTCCTGACTGCCAAGCCCTAGCAAAACTTGGTGCCTTATGAATATGCAGAGGAGTTTTCATAAAATGATGTGGCTGCAGCAGCCCTTTGTGTTCTGGAAAAAAACATTTCCAGGGGCCCCTTGAGACTTCGCCCGTGCTCATGCTCGCGGAGAATGAGGCTTCCCACAGAAAAGAGGAAGCCGGAAGAATAGGACATGATTGGATTGGTTAAGTGGACAATGATTCGAGGAGGAAAAGTGCTTCCCTGGTTGAATCCTTCCGTGGCCCCGCTGCCCGCTGGCCTGGGGGGCCCCTCACTGCGGAGGGTATTGCTCTTCCGATGCTGCTCGTTAGCATTACGGAATGAGTCCCGGGGAAGGACTGTCTTCGGGAATTTGTTTACAGCTGAACCTTGCACACCCTTCCTTAATCCAACAATTGGCTAATTCTTAAAATTGAAAGAAAAGGAGTAACTGCAAAACTAGCCTATCCATCTACTTGTCATTAAAGACTCGGCTGTCGAGAGCCATAATGAGGTACCATATTAATTCCAGAATGTGTTTTTGTCCCCCGGACGACAATGACAGGTAGATTATGCAGTTTTCTCATGATTAGTGAAAGTCAGCCTATCCAGATAACCAGAATAAGTAAAAGAAGTCCGTTTTGTGATTCTGAATTAATTGCTTCTTAATTGCACTGCTTTTCTTGCTCCTTTTCAAAATTTGCTTCTCTGAAGTCATTTTCCCAGTCAGGAGGGAAAATTAGTGTCTGTGGGCCATTTTCCTTTCAGATGTCCCCGTTCATGTGGAAGTGCTGGCCATTGTCCGTGAGCTGCTCGCTCGGCCACTTGAGTCCTTAACTGCTTAAATGCTTTTAGCCGTGGCTGAGCTCCAGAGATGACTTTTTTTTTTTAAAGAAATCTGTCTCCTTTTCCCACTGATTTGCCATTTAAGATAGAGGCCTTTAATTCTGGAAACCCATCCCTCACAGCCGCAGTAAATGGCGTTAAGAGCTAACAGGTAGAGCAAGGTTTTTAAAGTGGATTGGCACCATGGAAGGTTTCCAGCTGCTTCCGTGCGGGAGGCAGTATGCTTCACTGCATGAAGTGCAGGGACAGTCTGCAGAGCACAGAGGCCACCGGGGACGGACCTCGTGGTGGGCACCCATGGACAGGTCCCCACCCTGCTGCAGGCTCCCAGCAAAAATCTTTCACTCTTTGGACCTTGGGTATAAAAAGACTGTTCCAGAACAGTTTCTCTCAGCGCAAAGAGGCTTTACTGTCTCCCCAGCCTTTTTTCCAAGCGGGTGTCCGTGGTACCACCATTTTGGAAACTCTCTAAATGCACTGAAACCCCAAGTTGATGGTTGCCTCGCAGTCCTAACAGGCTGCAAGCCCGCCCCAGATGTATTGCTCTGTGTCTGGAACCATCACCTCCATGGTAGCATGTTCTCCAGATCCATGGGGCCTGCCTTGGAGGGTCCCTTATGATGGTTTCTACTGAGCTGGGTCTACCTTAATGGGTCATTTCTGCCTCTAGTGTGGGATACTTTAGCGTCTTCAACCTCGAGCTGGCCGAGTCCTATTTTTTAAAAGAGCCATTCCTTGTCCTCACGGTCTTGTGTCTGTTTGTGGAGAACAGACTTGAGAAGTGCCTTGTGTTGATCTGCCCATAGTTTCTCCCCGGCCCCCCGGATCGACTTTGTTCAGAGACAGTCCCTGGGTTCTTTCAGTACTCCTTAAAACGAAAGGTGAGAGCGGGTGGGCTCAGGTTCCCACGGGCCCACACCCTGCCCCAGGCTTGCAGGGTGACAGACGTGTGTCCCTGCTGCCTTGGGGTGGGGAGGGGGGGCGGGAGGGGGAGGGTGGTCGGCGGGACAGAGCCAGTCCAAATACAGCTTTGCCAAGAATCCCAGAGGCCCCACGTGCTTGCTGCAGAAATGAGAAAAGAGCATCGACACACAGTTGGCTCCACCCCTCAGAAATAACCACTGTGAATTGTGAAAAGCACATCTCTAGAGGTGTATCTGCATGTGAGAATAAATGGGACTTCACTGTTTTAAAACATGCTTTTTTTTTTTCAGCGTTAGAAAGATGTTCTCAATATGTTACTTTTCGCCGAAATCATCTTTTAAAATGTAACTCCGGTTGTGTTTTTCTGTTTCCTTATGTCCCGTTGTCACTTTCTCTCAGAATGTGCCGGTCCCTTCTGCAGATAACCAGTTCGTCCGAGAAGGTCCACCCCAGCCAGTCGGGCTGCTTGCGCTCTCCAGAGCCTTCCCGAACCTGGTCTGGGTTCTTCATTCAGAGAACCGTCTTTTCCTTTCCCTCAGGTGTCAACGGAAGCAGTGGCGGGTGGACCTGCCAGCCACCAGCGTGGTGATCACGTTCCACAATGAAGCCAGGTCGGCCTTGCTGAGGACAGTGGTCAGGTGAGGGCAGGAGAGGCCCCCCCCGTTGCCCACCTGCTGCACCTTATGGGAGGCGTTCACTGGTAGGGGTGCTGGACACGGCCCTGCGTCCCCAGCACACCTGGGCCAGGGCTGTCTGGGGGGGGACAGGCAGGTCCCCTGACTGCAGCACGAGGAGTGGCTGATGGCTTCTCCGGCCAAGGATTGGGACCAGCACATGAGAATTCCCCACCCCAAATGATACCCCTTACAGGCCTCCAACCTTTATCTTTTTTTCCTCAGTGTGCTTAAGAAAAGCCCTCCCCACCTCATAAAAGAGATCATCTTGGTGGATGACTACAGCAATGACCGTGAGTACCGTGTCAGATTCCTCCCCCATGCCCGGCCCTTCTTCGGGACACCAGCTTCCCTTAGTGTGCGTGCTAATGACGAGTTTCCTGAAAAGGCCAGAAATCAGGGCCCGCAGAAAGAAGAGGGGCCTCCTTGATGCCCCAGGAGATTCTCCACCCGCAGATGACCGAGATTCACAATACCTGAATACGAAGCCCATGTAAACGGGGTTCCGAATGTTCTGCTTCTCTCTTTCCCTAGCTGAAGACGGGGCTCTCTTGGGGAAAATTGAGAAGGTGAGGGTTCTCAGAAATGATCGGCGAGAAGGTAAGACTCTTTTCTTAATTCAATACCAAGACAGTTGAATTCTGACTTTTCCCGAGCCCGGCAATAACTTAAAGAAGTGTTTCAGCTAAAAGAACAATTAACTTTCTAGTCTTTTTTGTCTGTCTGTCTCTACCAGAGCCTCTTGGGAGCCTCTCCCTGCAAAGCCTAGGGAGGACATTCAAATTGAAATTATCTGTATACTAGGGCAGGAGTTCAAATTATATTTTTATTTGTGTATTTAGAAAAGCGGCTCCTCTCTTCCTTTTACAATCTAGGAAGTCTTATCAGTCCCTGGAGTACTAGAGTTTAGAAGAAAAACAAAGACTTAGCAATGAGAAGTTTAATGACTCCATGCTCCAGGCATCTGATAAAATAAGGGGTTCAAGTTTGACAGCCCGCTGACGGTGAGGCATCCCAAGAAGGAAGATAGTGCTGCAATTACATGCTCATTGGATTTTGCAAATGCCGGCTTCAAAACCTGCTGTCAGTCTTATCTGCCAGAGCTGGGCTCATCGAGTCGACTTTATTGGCAGGTATAAGAGAGACTCCAAAGGGGGAAAGTATTACTTTGAAGTGTCTGGAAAGGAAGCTAAATCCACAATGTAATTACCATCCAGTGTATCAGTGCTGTTGGAAGGCATGGTGGCTGGCATCTAGACTCCACCATAGTCCGGAGAAACCTTTCCTGATAGGAAGATTGCACAGCTTCAAAACATGCCGTTTTGGTTATTTGAGGATGACTCTGTTGATCTGGAGTGGTGCTTGCATTCCCTGATCAATGGACACTCTTTCTTCTGGTTCCCTGGACAGTCCAGCTGGAGTCAAGCAGTGCAGTTTTTCTAATGATTTTCATCTGCGATAAAGTGATTGAGCCTCTTTGGACAATGCTGTGTCAGCACCATATTTTAACCAACTCAGGTCATCAATCCAGATGTTCAAGACATAAACAATGGGACCGGCCTTGCTTCTAAGCAAGCTCTATTTGCTGGACTCCCATCTGTCTCCCAAGCTTAGAATAAACCAAAACTTTGAGATCAGACTGAAAATCTTGCCTTATATTTGCTTCCAGACAAACTGCGTAATAACTTTTTGAATTTAAACCCAAAGTGTCTGCTAGCACGGGGGGAGGAAAAAGAAGAGGTGGAAAAGAAAGAAATTATTTTTCGTGTCGGCATTTTATAACTGACAAATCACTTGCTAGCCTTGTCAGAGAGTGCCGTTAGCCTCAGAAATCCGTGCTTCTAAGTGCTTTAAATTAGGGTGTTCACTCGGGTAAGAGCCCATATTGACGCTTTGTTTTGGAACGGGATGAGGAGGGCCCGCTGGGGGAAGGCAGAGGGTGGGAAGTCTATATGAAACAAATGAAGTGTGCGATAGTTGAGTGAGAAAATGCACACACACAAATGTATATGTGTGCTTGGCTGTATGTGTGTGGTGTGTGTGTGTGTGTGTGTGTGTGTATCCCATATATTTGAACATATAGACAGATGCCTACAGTATTGCTACTAGATGACAGAGAAAATCAGTTGCATAAAATACGACAGCGAAGGAACAGCTTAGCTTCATTTAGCACTGAGGATTTTATTGTGCCAGTGATTCTTTATTTCGCTGTTCATTAGAATCAGCTGAGGAACTTCAGATGACCTTGGCGGAACTCATGTGCCAAATTCAGTGTCCCTGGGGTGGTTACCAGCTGAAATCTCCATTCTTTCTGCCTTCTGATCGTTCCTTTTCACGGACTGCTTGGGGTCTCCCTGTGCCTGGGGATCAGGAGTCAGCCGAGGATTTATGGGGAGGTTATCACCAGACTGGGGGCTGACCTCCTTTCCGGGATCTCCTCCTTCAGTTTCTGGCCACTCTAGAGACACTGGACTCTGTCCTCTGACACCGCAAGCCAAAGAGGTGGTGTTGCTCTGGGTTGTAGAGTAACCTCACGAGAAACACCACATGCATGGGCACTCCACTGGTTTTCTTCTTTTAAGGATTGAACCCCTTCCCATTTCTGCCTGCTTCTGACTGCTCTCTGGCCCTTTACAATACTTGCCTTTTCTGTTTCGATCGGGGTTTAGAACTGTGCTCTGAGCAAGGGTTTGCCCAATACAAACTGATACTCTTGCCTTCGCAACAGCAGAACTAGAAGCCTTTGTCTCTTTTCCCTCCCATGGCATGCGGCTCTATAACTACCACTGAAAACCCATTTGACTACTGTGTATGAAGGAACTTAAGACACTGGTCCTCACTGGTTGTGAATAGTCACATCACCTTCATATACAGTCATCCCCCCTTATACGTTCCAAAACCCCCAGTGGATGCCTGAAACCATGGTTCATATGGGACCCTGGATAGACTCTTTTTTTTCTTATGCATATACATACCTCCAACGAGGTTTAAGTTATAAATTAGGCACAGTAAGAGATTAACAACAATAATAGTAAAATAGGATAGTCATAGTATACTATAAAAAAGTTATGTGAATGTGGTCTCTCTCAAAATATCTTATCCGATGGCACTCACCCTTCTTGTCCTGACATGAGGTGATAAAATGCCCACGTGATGAGATGAAGTGACGTGAGGGACAGAGATCCCATAGCGTCCGGCTACTACTGACCTTCTGAGGAGACGTCAGAAGGAGGGTCATCTGCTTGCAGACCGCAGTTGACCATGGGTAACTGAAATTGTGAAAAGCGAAACCACAGACCGGGCAGGGGGTGCTGTATAGAGCCCAGCATCCATCGCAGAGGCCATATATGACCCCCCCATCCAGTGACACAGATACCACTTGAGACTTTGTGTGATCATAAAAACCCTATATTAGGAACAGGTCACAAGTATATAAATGGCATTAATTTGACCGAGAGTGGAACTAATTTTTTGTGTAAAAGTCAGTCACCTGGGGTTTGTCATGTATGTCACTGGGCTGAGCTGTCTTTGGAAGACAAAGATATTTGCAACACTTTTCTCTTCTCATTACATTATCACCACCAAAATCGGCTCCATCAGCCCCTGGAAGCATCCGAGTAACACCTTCCGTGGCCCAGTTCATCAGAAAACCCTGTCGCTGTGTCACAGGAAAATCATTGTAAAAGTTCCACACTTGAGTTGCCTGATGGAGGAGACTCCAGTTATGTAGAGGCCTTTCTCAGAGGGCGGGTCTAAGACAGTTGTCTTCCCAGGCACCCGGTAAACTTGGAAGAAGTCGTCCCGACAGAGCTCTGTCTTGGTGACCACAGGGCAGGACTGCCCCTCCCACCCAGGCTTGCAAGGGGGCTGCGGATCCGGGGGGGGGGGTCGATGGCGGGGCTGGAGGAGCTGGTCCATGGCCTTTGTCTCAGGTACCCTGACGCGCTTTTGAAATCCCTTCCGCAGGCCTGATGCGCTCGCGGGTTCGGGGGGCCGACGCAGCCCAGGCCAAGGTCCTGACATTCCTGGACAGCCACTGTGAGTGCAATGAGCACTGGCTGGAGCCCCTCCTGGAGAGGGTGGCCGAGGTGAGGCGCAGGGCTCGCGCTGTGTGGCGGGAAGTGCCCCTTGGATATCTGTTCCTAGAGTGTTGTCTTCACCGTAGGCATCTACGGCCGGGGAGAAAGGCACTTGACAGGTGGGGCGGGGGGGCGTCTCCCATGGTGCTGCTCACTAAGAGACCCCGCCTGCGGGCTTGTGGCGGGACCGGTGCCCGTGACCACAGTGTTGTCCTGTTGAGGCCGTCAGGGTGACCCGTGGCTCACTCTGTGTCCCTCTGTCTCTAGAAACGTCATCAGTGGTATTACTTTTGGCCTTTTGCCATGTCTCTTGCCTTTTACTTGGTCTATTGACTTTCTTTCCTCTCTCCTGAGAAAGTGTTTCTTTGGGGTGATAAAGCAAACTTAATGAAAGTACTAGAGAAATAGAGAATGAACAAGTCATGCCTTTTACAAGTCAAGCGTGACAAGGACATAGCCAATGGACAGTAAGTCATGAAATACTAACTAGCCACAAGCTACTAGTAATTACCATATGATGATGATGTTGATCTTGTACACTAGTAGTTGTTGATAGGACTCTTTACTTACCACATGTTAGGCACATTACATATCACCTTTAATCCAGGTATTACCCCCATTGGACACATGAGGGACTTGGGGTCCAGGGAACTTTAATAACACATCCAATTCATATGGGAGGCAGAGCCAGGGTGGCCAAGAAGGTTCAAGTCCATCCCTAATTGAGCCCTCTTACACATCACACCCACCTAGCTGAAAGAGGAACCCCCTGGAATCTCCGCCCCACCTCCCCCAGGCCAGTCCCCACAGCCCCAGGCTGTCCCCCAGGGAGGTAGAGGACACAGGGATGCCACGGCCAAGATGCTAGCATGTGCATAGACCCCACACATCCACGGCGGAACTGTCAGAATTATTTCCAGTACCCTCTCCTCAAGTAAGGATGGAAGGCGTGGAAAATTGTAATTCTCACTAGTTCCAGTCCTATCAAAAGAAGTCAAAACAAAAGAAGTGGACTGAGAACTCAAGCACATTATATGTTCTTTGACTCCCATGCCCAGGTCCAGACAGAGCCGGGCAAGGAAGATCGGATTCTTCGAGCTCAGTGCCCCGCACGGGGGTTTCTACCCTGTAAACTTGCACCTGGGGGTGATGGAACTTTATACTCTTCTCTTACGTGTTCCTCTGATGTATTCTGTTCTTAGCTCTGCAGATTCTGTTACTAATTTGTTTTTCACAGTCTTTCTTCTGGTTAACGCGGGTTCTGTAAATGGCTCGAGGAAAGCATTTACTCTTTTGTTAACTAGCCGCATGGGGCGATGCCTCTCACCAGCATCAAGCATCTGATTTTAAAGAGGGCAGGAAAGTTAAAAGGCCTTATGTTCACAAACCACCAGAGTAATAACTGTGGCAGAAAGAAATGCCTCCATCTAAGGGGGAAAAATGCTTTGTCGGGTAGACTCACAGGTGAGACATACTTCAAATCTGGGATTCTCGAGTTGACTTGGGTTGCCTTCGGCTGTAATGATATCCATGTGCTTCTCATCACACACACCTCAGGCCCACAGAAACAGATTCCTAGCAGCGTGGCGTGGCTGTCTTGGCCGTGCGTCCCTTCCCGAGCTTGACGACAGCTCACGGGATAGGATACGTAAGGACAGCGGAGCTTCAATTCTGTCAGAAGGAAAGCAGCCCCGTGCTGGGAAGTTTTGGCGTTTGGGGAAACAGAAAAGAATGCTGGGGACACACGGGTGCAGGCCTCGCCGTCAGCCAGGGCAGCAAACGCCAGAGGTGTCCTGTGGCCATGGCTGTCGGCTCTCGGAGCGATTCTCTCTGCCCGCCCACTGCTGACCTTGGTCGGCACAGAACAGACCCCGTCCGTGACAGTGAGGGCGGGGAGCCCCCGGCCTCTGTCTCCGTGGGCCTGGGGGATGGCAGGTGGTGAGAGGGGCGGCGGGTGTCCCTGAAGCCACCGGACACCGATGCCTGCCTCTGGTGGGGCGGGATGCTCTGTTTTGTTTGTGATACCGACTCCCGTCTTCTGTCGATTTGTTTTTCAGGACAGGACTCGGGTCGTGTCCCCTATCATCGATGTCATTAACATGGACAACTTTCAGTACGTGGGGGCGTCCGCTGACTTGAAAGGCGGTAGGTGCCACTCCTGGTCCAGCCGGCCTTGCTCTGGCCGTCTGCATGGCGGCTGATCACTGCTCCCGCTCGGTGCCATGAGGGACAGTGACAGCAGCTTGCTCACCGCCAGCGCACGTGCTGCGAGCAAAGGGCGTCTCCATGCCCGACAAGTAGAATCTCATAAAGAGAGAGAAAAATGGCCTTCTTCCCCTTAAAGAACTTCCTGTGCTTCCTGTTCTCCTCTTATCTCTTTGACCTTCTGTGGCTGTGATGACATGTGTGGCTTAGTACACAGTTTGGGTGTCATTTTTAATCGGGGAAGATTAAGCCTTCCCAAGTCGGAGTCTGGGACGAGGCGTCGCCCGAGCTGACAGGCGGTCTGTGGTGAGCATCACAGAGCCTAGGGTTTGTAGCGTGGGAGGGCTGGGCTCGCCTTGGCCTCCTTCCTCTCTGACACCAGCTCCCCTGACAGCCTGCATCTCCCTGGTGGCAAAGCCCGGGTCATCCCCGGCTCCCGCTGACCACCCAAGCCCACTCGGCACCCCTACACCTGGCTTGGTTGTGGACCCCCCCCCCCCGCTGACCATCCACATCCTGCTTCGAAGGGCCACACCAGCTTCCTGTTGGTCCTCACAGCCTCCGGATGTGCCCCTTCACACCCAGCCCCCCTGGGGCCCCACGAGTAACTTGTCTCATGCTCTCCACCTTCTCAAAAACTATCAGAGGCCCCAAAGACCTTCTGTTCACGTGGGCTGTATGTATCAGCATTTGCTGTATTGGAAATTAAAGCCAAGAAATTGTTAAAACACAAGACAATGCAAGTACACATCCTGTTGTTCATCAGCGTGCCAGTATCACATGTTCTGCAGCTTCTGGAAAACTCCATCATGTGCTTTTGAAAAAGTGAGCATGAAAGAGGCATGTAAGGTCTTAGTGTAAATATCAAAGTAGTTTTGATGGGATAGACCCCCGAAGGGTCTGTGGACCCCCATGGGCTCCTGGACCAGGCCTGGAGAACCACTGAGCTCACGTAGCGCTTCATGGTGCTGAGAGGTGCATAGGAATCACACTGGACCCCTCGAAGGAACCGGTCACGTGACATCTGGCTCTTACTAGTTGTCCTTGTGTCCCTGGGACGGGGGGTGGGGGGCGGGTAGGGTGAGGGGCTGGCGGGGGCCCAGCAATGAATGCTCTGTGCTCTGAAACTCAGCTGTTTGGCAGCCACACCTCTCAGACCTCAGCTGAGAGCCAAGAGGTCAGCAAAGACTGCCCAGAGCAGCTAAAAGAGATATCAAAGCTTTTGCCTTCTGTTTGTGTAATCTATTCACTATTGATTCTTTACACCTGAGATCCATGGTTTCTTTTCTAGCTGTCCAGCACCCCAGTTGCTTTATGTGAAACAAGGGGCTTCTTTTCCCACCTTCTAACACTTTGAGCTGATTAGAGGAGGACTGACTATTCCAGACAGACAGACAGATAGTCTAGTGTCAAAAAAAGACCATGAAACTATAAAATTGGGCATGACCTCAGAAGACAGAATGCTGAGACAGTCAGTGAGACTCGGGTTTTTGACTCCACCTGCCATGTCACCGTGGGCCGGCCAGTTCACCTCTGTGCCTCAGCATGCCCATCTGAGAAGTGGGGAGATAGGAACGCCAGCCACAGGGGTAGTGAAAGGATGAGAGTAGCCAGCGTGAGGTCAGTGACGTGAGCGAGCAGCACCCCCATCCCAAGGCATCAGCGACAGGGCGGTCATGGTGGGAGGACTCTCCTTACATCAGGAAACGTAACATTCAGAAAAGATTCTCAGCAAACGGTGAGAAGGTTTGGGGTTTTAAGGAGGACCGATCCCTAGTTATCAAGAAAACATTAGTGTTCAGAATGTCTTCTTCCCCCAAGGATTTGCAAGAGCTGAGATTGATGGGCTCTCTTTTCCCATAGCAGCTGCTTATTCGAGAGCCAGTGCAGGGACATAGATGCCCTGGGGCAGGGGGTGGGGGTGAGGGGTGCAGTCCTCCTGCTGGATCAGAAGAAGAGGATGCACCAAATTTACTCTAGGAGCATTTTCTCAAATCCCTTTAGGAAAAAAAAAATCAAGGATGATGTTTTTAGCAGATTCTCAAAACCTAATAAAGTTTGTCTCTTTGGAACAAATTAATAAAATAATAATGATCATTCAAAAAATGCAGGTAACATTCTGTCGACTGGCCCATTGAGGCCTTTGCATTGTCTGTTCATAACATAGGCAGGACGTCTGTTGTTTCCCTGGTTGAGGCAGGCCCTCTGCCTCAGGGAGAGCTGGGCTCTTCGGGAAAAGCCTGTGTGGGGCCTGCCTCAGTTTCCCCTCTGTGCTGCTGTCCCTGCCGCCTGGCCTCCCAGCGGCTCACTGCTTCTTTGCTAGCCTGCCACACTTGGCAATAACAGCTGGGAGGCCTTTTTAGTCCCATGCCTCTGGTTGGGCCATAAAGGATCCTGTGCTGGCCCAGGAGACCCCCAGCCCACGCTTCCCATCCTGCCCTGTTCAGGCTACAGACACAGGGGCTGGCAGGGCAGTTGAACGTTGACCTCCGAGCACACTGAAGAGAAATCCAGACTTAGGCACTGCACAAGCCCTGCCGACCAACGAAAAGCCTGGTGGCACAGAGCTAAAGGATAGACGGCCCTGGAGTAGTTAAGTTTGGCTGTCAGACCTTTGGAAATGCAGTGAGCCACCTGTCACCAAGAAGTGGTCTCCTCGTGCGTCTCGAGAGCATCAGCAGGTGGGGTGTGCTGGCGCCCGCTGGCTCGATGCGGGGTGCCTTCTGAGTAAGGGCAGACCCAACAGCTTGGGCCAGGGGCCCACAGATGTCAGAAACCGTGTCCTGAGTGACCTGTGGATTCTAAACGTGAATTGGGACAGCTGCCGTATTTCTCAGAAATCACAGCCTGCTGCCCGCTTTGCCACTTCCTTTGGCTTGTTTTCACCTAAAAGTTTTCCCTCTGCCACCTTGCCCCCCATGGTTTAGTTGCAATTGAGGGTCATGGAGGAGGCCAAGTTGGCCAGCCCAGAGAATCTATGCTCTTGTCCTTCCCCTGGGTTCTTTTGCCCTGGGGGGTTGGGGGGAGGCACGGTGGCAGATTTGACTCTGTCCCACCCATTTTCTCCCTCCTCACAGCCCTCTGTTCCCTGTCAGAGTTATTCTCAGGCGTTTTAATGGTAGGAAAGCCTGACCCACATTTTCTGTTTGGGGTGAGCTTTTCAGGGAAGGAGTCGGTGTGTGCCCTCCCCGCTGGTCCCCCCGCCCCAGGTTCTCCCCTCTCCTGCTTTAGTGGTAGTGCTTTTATTTAATTTTTTGCTGTGTGTGGTTTTCAGTGAGTCCAGTCCAAATATCCAATACGTCTAAGCTCTGAGGGACAGAGGTGCCAGGAGCACACTCAGTTCTCTCGTCAGCACCCTAATGTTTTGTTTCTTTTCCGTGGCCGGCAGGTTTTGACTGGAACTTGGTCTTCAAATGGGATTACATGACCCCAGAGCAGAGGAGATCCCGGCAAGGGAACCCGGTCGCCCCCATAAAGTAAGTGCCAAGAATCCTTCCGGGTGCCCCTCCCAGGTAAGACCCTGGCTCTGGCCCCGTGTTTCCTAGAGACGTAGTTAGACTCCTCATCTTCCTGCCGGCCGCCGACACCGTTTCCCCTGTCCTGGCTCGAGGGAGAGTTTCTGCCACCGAATCATAGAATAAAGTACTTTGAGATTTCCTCAGATGAAGCCTAACCTACAACTAGAGGAGGCAGATCTGTTAGTTCTGGGAGTTCCCCCACGTTTATACTGTAGAGCGGTTTCCAGCAGGGCAGGCTCTTCAAGTTGAACTCGGGGACCAGGGAAAAGGGAGGGCGGGGGAGTCCTCTCTACTGAGGCCCTTCCTGGTCGGCTTCCCTCCCTGAGCTGCCTCTGCCCTCCTGCTGGCCCACAGAAGACAGAGCTTGTAGCCATTAACACCCGGCTTTCAGAGTCAACCACCTGTAGCTGGGCGTGAATGTGGGGTGCCTCTTCAGGCTAGACATAGCTAAGTGGC